AACAACAACAACATTTTTGTACCCCGCCTTCATCTCCCCAAAGGAACTCGGGGCAGCATACATGGGAACTAGCCCAATCAACATAGTTAAAATATAACACATTAAAATACATAACAACAGCATAAAACAGAATAAAAACATTGTAACAAAATATAAAATCAAATATCAGCTAACAAGCAATGATCCTGCAATAATGATCAGTTTCTGAGTTTTATCAGGATAGTGACAAGAAATTGAGGTGAATGTGGAGAACAAGTCAATGATCTCTTGTACATTTCATACTTCAACACCAAATCTGATTATCAGAAAAGGAGAGCGATGACTTAAAGAAACTGAAATCGTGATTTTGAAAAAGATTGCAATTACTGTATTATTTTGAAGTTTCAAAGAACTTTCAAAATGTTCTTCCAATTTTTCTTATGCTTTGTTCTTTTCAATGAAAACTTAAGACTTTAAATTGCTAGAGTTGGACAAAGTACTGTTTACTAATGCAGAAATTTAATCCAGGCTGGAAGCCTCTGCCTCTTTCATTTATTTAATACGTTTTAGGCATTATAAAACAAATTCCAGAGAAATGCATTCAGCTGGAAAACTAAGTCATATCCTTTTCATCTTGCACATTAAAGAAAACTTCAGTAGTCACCAACATCCCCATTGCATGAAAAGAAAAGGAAGAAATGTAGCTAGTTAAATTCACAGGTATAATTTTAATTAACATTTTAACCCAAATCAGGAAACTTAAGAAAAAAGCTGTGAAAAATTGTAAAAGAAATTTTGGTTTTGCGTCATATTCATGGAAGACATAACTATGAGATTTCCAGAAATCTTTTAAAGAAATATTCAATTATGCTTTCAGGAATTATTGGCTGATAAAAGAAAATACAGTGCCATGTTCCCTGCTCTTGAAATGAAGTGATTTCAATGAACGTAGACAATCACCAACATCTACCTTGACAGTGAGAACCAATAATTATCATTGGACTTCTGCTATTGATGTCCACTGTCACAGGAGTGACACACTTTTAACCCCTGAAAACCTCATGCTACAGAGTCACCTTAAAGTCTTATTAACCTGACTACTACTATTGACTTTTCCCTACAATTCACAGTCACAAGAGAGTGCTCACAAATTCTCAGTTCACACAGGACCTGGCATGAAAGCTATGGGTCAAGCTGCTTAGAGATACCTACAGCAAAAACCAACTGTTTAAATTCAAAGTTGAATTTTTGTAATGCTACATCGCAACATGCCACAACTCCAATGGACTCACAGTTTCATACACTAAAAGAATTACAAACTTCATTAGCTACTCATTTCATATTCAACCTACACAGAAACGTGGAGGAAGGAAATTCTCAGTACAACAAAAAGAAATACTCCCTTCTTCAAAACAGGAACCAAAGTCATAGAAGTGCTGAAAAGAAACAAAGGGGGCATCTATGCTTTGAATCAAAGGTCACTCATTCAGTTTTCTGAAGAATTATCACCAAACTGTTTTTTAAAGTCCCTTGAACTTTTGAATGGATGAGTGGGTGGCTTGGGAACAATCCTTTGGTTTAAAAATACCCATGGAAATGAAGGGAAAAAGTTAGTCAAAACAAGACCACATGATGATCAGGATGGTGCTAACCACTAAAGAAGATCTAATAAGAGGAAAAACAATAAGTGAGACTCAAACTCAGGTGCAGGAACACTTACTAACAGTTCAAAACAAAGTTAATCATCAAGGGTTTATTTCTTAAATAGAGTGTTTGTTTTTGATATTATTTTATTTGGACAGTTTAATCTTCCCATGCTAGCAATATTATTTTCAGACACAAACATCAATATCTAATTTTGTTCTGATTAAATTCCTTCCACATCAAAGCTGTTCTATCTTGTTCAAAAAGGAAGGAAGAAAAGTCTCATTCCTAATCTATTACACATGTTAAATACATAAGAGATGCAAAAACATACAAGGGAGACATAAGAACATGACTACTGAACAGTTTATGTAATCTGGTAATCAAGTTATTACTGTAGTCAGTCAGGAACTTATGAGAGGCCTGCATGCAGGGAGGAGACACTATAGTCCTCTTCTACAACTCTAATCCAGAAATTCACAGGCATCTTTGAATAGTCAAAGAGATACCGGAAAGTATCCAAGAACTGGTATTCAGTTAGTGGGTATGGAATATCTACCAGTACTAATCAACTGTCTTATCCAGCGCTAATTTACCTTATTCCTTTTATTTATTTATTTATTTACTATATTTATTGATCCCGAAGGCTACTCAAGGTGGAGGGGACTACAAGCCTTTTAATTTGGTGGCACCCAGAAGAGCTTGCAGAAGGGAATTCCATCATTTTCCTATATATTATGTAAATAAATCGTTCCTCTTTCTGCCTCTCAAAGTCTCCCATCTGTCATTTCCCTGAATTGACCCCTGATTCTAGTGAGTGTCACCGTATCACTTCATGTTGCCATTTTGAAGGAGAACCAGAGAATAATTAAAGGTATTTGTGGGTGTTTGAGAAAAAGCTTTCATGTGGCCTTTGGTATGATATTTAGGGCACTTTTAAATAAATTAAATAGCTCAATTGATGTAAACGTTTCTCCAAATTCATGTAATAGAAAAGAGAATGACAGCACGGAGACTTTTGGACATTGTTCTTTATGAGAAAAAAATGTTGTCATGGAACACTGTATTCAACTCTATTTATATAAGATGCACCATTTTGTAAATCTATTTTCAGTAGCTTATTTAAATATGTATGAAATGACTGCAGCGGAAATTGTCCAAAACAAGAGAAGCATCTGGTTTCCATCTGGTTTCGTGGGAAACAAGAAAGCACTTTGACTATAAAAGAAGACTCTAATACTGGGTAGCAAAAAAAGTCCTATAAAGCCATTAGAAAGGCTGGAATGCAATGAAAGATGCTGACATTTTATAACCTTAAATTGATTACATATTTTTGAATATTTTCCCAAATAAAAATATACCATTCATAGAAAAGCTGATACGTAAAGTGGAACCTGACAGGGAATTTACTGGAAAGGGATTTGAAAGAGAAAGCTACCCTGGTTAGTTTGATACTACCTTCCTTTCTCCATCAATCTCTCAAGTTCCATTCTCCTCTTGTTAGCTTGACACATGCAAGGTCTCTGGACAGTGAATATATCAATGTTGTGCTCTGTTCAATGCCTGACGTTTGATTATAGTGATAGTGTTCTTAGCTGCTGCAGCTGATGAAAACATTATTAGTATGGTCCATCACTTTCAAAGTTCCAGGCTTAGAAGAACAAAGCATTTCAAATAATGTACATGTGTGTGTAATTTGAAGTGAATGAGTGACAAAATGTATTCAAGAAACAGTACATACCACTTAAGAGCAATAACACTAATTCATCCCTTCAATTAATATTCTGTCCTTAATTATACTTGCCAGTCTTCTGAATTTTCAGGGATACATTCAACCAATTTATTACAAATCATGGTCAAGGTAAACATTGCACGTGGATACCTAAAGAGAAGAACTCCAACTCTGCCAAGTTCTCATTCAATTTGAACTCTACATAAACTATTCACAAGTTCTGTGATATAAGGAGTCCAAAAACTACTTTTTCTGTTAACCATGGAAAATATTTCATAGCCATTCTCACTGAAAGGATACTTTCTAAAGCTTCCAGGATCCATGAAGGAATCAAAACAGATGGAGAATATGGGTCTGGAAACTGGCACAAATTCATAAGACAGCATTCTCTCTTAAACAATGCTAAGATGTCAGGTCTGGAACCGGAAGGCAATTTATTTGATCTTTGCTGGCCTAATCCTGTGATAAGCTGCCTCTGCCTCCAGCTGTCAGGTAGCAGACACTTGTGACTCATATCCTGTACACAGGCTGAAATACTGAGTCATTTGCTATCAGAAGACTCCAAGGATCTCCTAAGCAAGGTACCGAAGAAAGACTGAAAACCAGGAGTGCTGCCTTTTCTTTCCTGGTATAACTTGTCACTGTTCCACAGTTTCGTGTTTTAAAAATGAGCACATTGTTTTTTAAAAATCTCCATGCAAATCATGTTCAAAGCAGAAAGGGGGGGGGTCATATCTGCTTCTTTGGGTTTGGCAAACTCATTATCTAAGACTGCATGACTTCTCATCACTGATAAAGGGGGAAAAAAACATGAAGGACATAGAAAATTCTTCTACTAAGCTTTCATCATAACAACCTGTTTGCCAGAAACCAGGCATCAGACTTTAAGGAAGTAAATGAACAAAAAAAATGAAGAACTCTTTTCATTTTCAACTTCTTATTTCACCCGCAACAACCACATTGTTAAGCAGAACTGATTCAATTGTATCACAATTAACTTGTGTAAAACAATTACCAAAGAGTAAGTGTAACTACCTACAGGGTACATATACAACGAATAAAGTCAGGTATGTTATTTTTTGGTCAAAACACTCAATACAGGTTGAGTATCCCATATCCAAAATACTTAAAACCAGAAATCTTGTGGATTGTGGATCTGTTGGGATTTTGAAATGCTTACATATGCATATATATACATAATGAGAAATCTTGCAGGCAGGATCCAAGACTAAATACAAAATTCATGTATGTTTCATATAGACCTTAGATATATTGCTTGACGGCAAGGTGAATATTTTTAAAAATCATTTTGTGCATGAAACAAAGTTTGTGAACATTAAATATCAGAAAGGAAGGGTATCATCTCAGCTATGCATGTGGATAAACTTGGAAAATTTTGAATTTCTGAGTTCTACATATGGGATGCACAAACTGTACCTTATGTTATGAACACAGAAACATTGACACCTCTAGGGGTCGTGGATGAGCTGTCATTGGCTCTGTGAGTGGTGAAAACTATATTCTCACAGTCATTAAAACACAAATAATGAGTACCAGTAGACATACAAATAATTACAAACATTATGGCATACAATGACAGATGTGTGTTTTTCCTTGCTATTAAAAATAAACAAAAAGGTTTTACCTTTGCAGATTCATAGTCAGTTTTCCTGTACAGGTCTTGATCTTGTTTTGTGCTTCTAGGTGAGTCATGCCATCTGCACTTATCCCATCAATACTGAGAACTATGTCACCTATTCCAACATTTGCATTAGCTGCTTTGCCTCCATCACTTAACTGCAAGATCACAAATAAAACAAAATCAACATTAATATGCTTTAAATAATTTCCACATTTCAAATTATATTCCAATATTAAAACATTTGAATTAAGGTACCTCTCAAGCACATTCTCCTATCAAGACCATGGTATGACTTAACTTTTCACCATAATCTTTTGATACTGGGGGTTCATTCATAATAAAAAGATCTAGCAAGGTAATTTCATTTGAACTGCTGTAGAGCTGTCCTATGCAATCCTGAGATTTGCAGTTTAGGGAATGGGCTTTCTAATACCTTGCAAAACTAAAACCTCAATGCTTCCATAGCATGAAACAATGGCAGTTGAAGTAGAACACAATATGACCCTGTTATCTGTGGAAGATATATTCTTGTACCTACTGTGGAAAGAGGAAGCCATGAATAATAGCAAACCCTACTGAAATAAATTACCTTTGCCAAAAGTACTCATGGAGTCACCCTAGAGGACCTAGAACATTCCTGAAGAAGACATATTTTCTTGGATACAGGTAAGTGAAATATGGATACTGTACTATCATTAACACTGCTCAGCCACATAAAATTGGCCCTGAGAAACTTGCCAGGGCTGTACACAATAGAAAGGGACACACTGATACACATTATATCCCTTGGATCATTTGAAGAACACATTTATGCACATTCAGAGGATGGGAGCCATTTTTCACCCCTATCAAAAGCTTATTTTACCTACTTAATTTTTTTTCAGAGAACATAGAGCTCTAGCTTCTTCTTGCAATGACATGCTGTAATGCATCAGACTCAAGCGAAGGGAGTAATACAACAAAATGACTTAAAGTTAGAAAAAACAAAATTATTCAGAAGTTTCAGCTGAAAGTGCATATATGACAGCACAAGGTGCAGGTGTATATCTCCACAGGATCTGCATGTTAAAATGTGTAAATAAAAGCTCAAGACAAGATGCAGAAGGCCTGTCCACAGCTTATTAGGGAGTAGAGTGGATTCAAAAATTATCTTTATGATTTCAATTCTATATAGAATATAGATATAGAATTATATATAAAACTGAAATTGAATTTTTAAAAATATAGGACGGAATTTATAGTAAAGATAATTTTTGGACACCCTGTATACTACAATAGACTTAAGAAAAGCATCTGTGAGGCACTACATATTGAAGTGCTTAGAAAATCACTCCACTTGTCTTGAGGAGGAAAAGTCATGCCTTGGATCCTAAAGTAAATTAACTAAACATAATATCATGGAAACGGACTTTCCCACACTCCAGCCCCTTTAACACTGAAGACATCAAAAAGCTTCTCTGCAGACTTGGGAAAGCCTCCAGAATAAGGTGGGAAGGGAAGTGACAGGGATGAGAGATGAATCTTTCTTGATATTAACTTCAGTGAGTTAACCTATGGACAATACAAAAAGGTGTAGTTGATATCCGCTGGAGTTTGAGTCCAAGACCCCCTATGGTACCAAAATCCATGGATGCTCAAGTCCCACTATATACAATGGCACAGTAAAATGGTGTCCCTTACATAAAATGGCAAACTCAAAGTTAACTTTTTGGATTTTATATATGTGTGTGTAATCTGTGCATGCAAAATCCTTGGATGCATAGGACAAATTGATTAAGTTAGTTAGGAATAGATGTTTTCTTAGAACTACCTCTTTTGGAGAAAATCTGGTACCAAAGGCAGAAATAACAGCTAGACAGATGGGGAAACAGCAAGGGGCAGATGTAAAAAGCAACTTCTCTGTCAGAGACTCCAGTTACATGAAGTAGGCCTCTACTGGTAATCCTCTAAATCACCTCTTGGCATATGAAGTAAAAAGCCACCTTAGCATTAAGGGTGGAGCCTGACATCATAGCCTTTTTACATCAAATATTTAAAGACCTGGAGAACAAGCCCTATTAGGAGCAGCTTAAAGAGCTGGGCATGTTTATCCTGAAGAAGAGAAGGCTGAGAGGAGACATAATAGCCATGTATAAATATGTGAGAGGAAGTCATAGGAAGGAGGAAGCAAGCTTGTTTTCTGCTGCCCTGGAGACTAAGAAGTGAAACAATGGCTTCAAACTACAAGAAAGGAGATTCCATCTGAACATTAGGAAGAACTTCCTGTCTGTGAGAGCTGTTCAGCAGTGGAACTCTCTGCCCCGGAGTGTGGTGGAGGCTCCTTCTTTGGAGGCTTTTAAACAGAGGCTGGATGGCCATCTTTCAGGGGTGTTTTGAATGTAATTTTCCTGCTGCTTGGCAGGGGGTTGGACTGGATGGATGGCCCATGAGGTCTCTTCCAACACTATGATTCTATGACCTACAATACCTTCACAGTATGGTCCAAACCCTATCTAAGATTTCTTCCTCCCACAACACCCAATTCAACAAACCTCCAAAGAGCACCCTCAGGAGGAGGATATAGGAGCTGAACAGCAGATTAGGGTAGGGAATCTTCCATGAATTTCTTTAATTTACTGTATACAATTTAAAGTTAACAAAGAGAGGCTTTGATTCAGATACATGCATAATTTTCAGGCAGCCTATATCAAATATCAAAGCTATCCAAATAAAGCCAAAGTTATGCGCCAAGAAGAATAAATCAAAATGAATATCCAAATGCAATATCCATTTTTCCTTTATTCAAACTTATCATTCTATTTATATTATATGTAAAAAAAATCCCATTTTTATACCCAGTGTTCTTCACATAAAACAGGCATTATAAATTCAGACAGAGATGGGAAAATAACCTGGGACTGTCCCATCACATTATGGATTATTTAATATGGTTTAGAAGACACATTCAAGCAGAATGGTAGAGAGCAGCTCCTAAAACATGTCAGTCTTTATATGTGCTATTATGTTCACAAGACTTTTTCTTGGGCATCCAGAATGAGTTCTGAGTTAAAAGTGAAGATACTGCAGCACTTTTATGTTCGTGCCATTTCAATGAAAGGTTAAAGTCTACTTCAAAATGCATTACTTCATACAGCAAGACTTGCTTTTATCTCTCAACATAAGAGAACTACTTAAAAATACCTACTGGCAATACATCAATATGAAATAAAGAGCTAAAGATGCACTGCATAAAATAGATTGCTGTCCTTGTAGCTTTAACTGAGCCATTTGATATTTAAAGACCTTCAGCAATTGTGTGGCTAACGTCAGTGTCAGACTATGTATCTTGACTGAAGAGAATGGATATAGTACAATTATTCAGCATCAAGTAAATGAATGGCACTGCTATTGGGAATATGCATGAAGTCTTAAAAGAACCTAGAGATGGAAAGAACAGGTTATCCTTTCCATTCAGCCTGCCAATATGGGATTATTCCCTACTGTATGTTCATGTATGCTTCTGTTCTGTCTAGCTTCAAGTGTCTCACAGCATGAGACTTCCACAGCTTTCTCGAAGAATTTATTGCATCCATACACAGACCCATCTGTTAAAAAAATTAATTACCCCCAGTCCATTCACATAAAGTACACTAAGTTTTGGAAGGAAACCTTTTTTCCATTGCACACATTTCCATCCATTACGTCTAGGTATTAACTATCATTTATTTTTCTGTGATAAATCATACTCCCATTCTTGCCAATTCACTAAGTTTTATTTAGTACTAGTGAGATATACATGAAAAGCCTTCTTTGGAGGGTTTAAAACAGGGGCTTGATGGCCATCTGTCGGGGTGGTTTGAATGTGATTTTCCTGCTTTTTGGCAGCGGGTTGGATAAGATGTCCCATGAGGTCTCTTCCAACTCTATGATTTATGATTCTATGAGTGTGCTCTTCATCCAGTCTATTCTGTACTAGCTGTCCCCTGCCACGCGTTGCTGTGGCCCAGTCTAGTGATCTGGAAAATAAAGTAATGAGAAAGTGTTGGTTTCTAATATATGTAATTCCTTTATGCTTGTGAGTAAACAGTATTTCTTGTTGTTTCTTTGTCAGTGTTATGTGGAGAGTGTCTGGTTTGCCTACTGTGGAATATGCAACATATCATAGTCCTTCTTTAAGGGTCTCTTTCAAATCTATGATACTATATCTGTGTGTGTGAGAGAGAATCATATCTATCTATATTTATGACTGGATGGCTCTTTGTCAGGAGGGCTCTGATTACATTTTCTTGCCCTGGTGGAGAGTTGGACTGGATGGCCTTAAGTATTTTCTGTTGGTCATGGGGGTTCTGTGTGGGAAATTTGCCCCATTTCTGTCGTTCGTGGTGGATTCAGAATGCTCTTTGATTGTAGGTGAACTATAAATCCCAGTAACTACAAATCCCAAATGTCAAGGTCTATTTCCTCCAAACTCCATCTGTGTTCATATTTGGGCATATGGAATATTTGTGTCAAGTTTGGTCCAGATCCATCATTGTTTGAGTCCACAGTGCTCTCTGGATGTAGGTGAACTACAACTCCCAAACTCAAGGTCAATGCCCACCAAACCCTTCCAGTGTGTTTTGTTGGTCATGGAAGTCCTGTATGCCATGTTTGGTTGAATTCCATCATTGGTGGAGTTCAGAATGCTCTTTGATTGTAGGTGAACTATAAATCCCAGCAACTGCAACTCCCAAATGTCAAGGTCTATTTCCCTTAAACTCCATCTGTGTTCATATTTGGGCATATGGAATATTCGTGCCAAGTTGGTCCAGATCCATCATTGTTTGAGTCCACAGTGCTCTCTGGATGTAGGTGAACTATAATTCCCAAACTCAAGGTCAATGCCCACCAAACCTTTCCAGTTTTTTCTGTTGGTCATGGGATCCTGTGTGCCAAGTTTGGTCCAATTCCATCATTGGTGGAGTTCAGAATGCTCTTTGATTGTAGGTGAACTATAAATCCCAGCAACTACAACTCCCAAATGACAAAATCATTTTTTTTAGTGAATGACATACATTGGGTTGTTAGGTGTCTTGTGTCCAAATCTGGTGTCAATTCCCCCAGTGGTTTTTGAGTTCTGATGGTAGCACGAACTAACATTACATTTTTATTTATATAGATTGCCATACATATTAAC